GCCTGGCTCCGGCCTCTCCGCGCCGCTTCTCGCAGCTGCTGCGTGGGGCGGGAGCAGGACGCCCCAGACCCCGCGGTCAGGCCGTTTTGCCCACATTCGTTTGTTGTTAAAGCAAGGCAGGCGTTGGTTTGGGATGTGGACGAGGCCGCTGGGCCTGGGGCTGCCCGGCGGGGCGTAGCCGGGGCGCGGGGCGAGGATGGAGCAGGAAGTTGTGTCTCCACTGGGCATTCCTCAGATGCTTTTAAAATTGCAGCAGCGGCGAGCGAGGGCAGCGGCAGGAGCCGGGAATGCTGCGGGAGCGATGCACAGACCGAACAAATGCTTTACTTTTGGGGGTTTTGTTAGTATTTAGTTATTGTTCCCGTGCGGGTCAGGGACTTCACGGTCTCATGGGGCTTCAGGATGGCTTGAAAGTGATTTAGAATACTGACTTATCACTGTTTGCTATGCATTGCCAATGCGGACACTACTAGACTTTGTGGGGGTGAGGCAGAGCTGCCTGTTTCCTGAGGAGTGATGTGGCTGATATACTGAGTTCTTTAGTTTACAAAAGCTTCTGCTTCTCATGTTCACAGGTCTGTCTACAGGATTTTTCTGACACAGTAACTGCAAAAATATTGTCCAAAGCTGTTTGCACAGGAAGCACATAATCCATAAAATTTACCATTAATGTGAATGGTATCACTTTGTCAGCTTTTTAACTGATTGTGCTCATTGAAATAGCAGTTAGGAAGTTGTCCAGTGCAATATGTTAGCAGTGAAAATGAACTTTAGAGCTTTAGGTTCATGCATTGTGTTTTCTTGACTGTTCAAGATCAGTGCTCATACAGGTGGGTCTTTCTTAATTGCTCAGTCCTTGCTCCTTTTGCTGTGTATATGTTAGTTAAGTTACAGACGTGTTCCAAGTTTTGATGCACTCCCAGTATTAATCTATATGGAGTGTCCTTGGTTCAAACACTTTATCAGAATGAGGTCTGTAGGACTTCTGAGCACTGAACCCCAGCTGGAAGCCAAAGCAGTGGCACACACTCTGCAGAGGTCACAGCTGGGTTGTTGCATTTACTGTATTTGGTGGAAGTGATACAGTCATTTTCCTGAGTGAGAGTAATGCAGAATTATTAATGTGTGAGAGAGAATTCCTGCAATTGGTAGCATCTATTTGTAATGAGGAAAATGAAGTCATCTGGGATTGTTGACACAGAGGGAGTGCTGGGAGAAGGTTTTCCCCTGCACAGGTGGGGACATGTTGGGATCAGATATGACACACAGAACAGACTCTACTTGGCACACTGTTGTTTCACAGAATTCAGTGATTCACACAGCCTTGAATCAGGAAGCTGCCAAAAAAAAGTTCACTGCTGTGTATTTGAATATCCTTATATCCAATTTGGAATGCAGTGATGACATATCTAATTGCCATATAACTTTTTTCTCTGCATGCAAGATACTTAGAAAAGTTATAGGGGGGTTTGTTATTATTGATGTGTCTCAGTCCTTGACTTCGACATTTCTCTGTGAAGTTTTGTAGTTCTTTTAGTGGGAAACCACAATATTGGTATTTTACTAACATATTCCTGGTGTTTCTCAGTCTGCTTTAAGTCTGAAAGGTAATTTCAGAATGCTGATGTTGTTGAGACCATTTCCAGCACTGAGAACCTACTTAAGTCTTTACAGCTTTCTGTGGTTCCTTATTAGGTCATTAAATACTTCTAAAAAAGTACCAGAGTTGTATAATCTCAGATGCTGAAGAAGAAGATTTCATTTCTGCTGGTGGAGATGGTTGTGAGGTCACTCTGAAGTGATTTTTTTGAAATGTTGTTTGATATCCTTATATGGAAATGCTCTTTGTGCATGTTTCTTAGCACTTTCTTTGTGCTGGTTCCTATTAAGAAGCTCCCAGTTTGCCTGTTCCTAACAGTTTACTTCTTGCATCCTGGCAGGAACAAAGGAAATGACCCATTTTCCTTCCCCTCTCTTTCTCTCTCACTGGAATCCTGTTCCTAGCAGAAGACGGTGGGATGGCACGTTCCAGGCCTCTGTGTTTGTAGAGGCAGCAGCTGTGACTGAACTTAGTGCTCATTTGCTCCCTTCAATTGCCAGACATCATATTGTTCAGGACAGGATTTTTTTGGGATCCAAAATGAAATGTTACAACGTTATCCACTGTTCACAGCCAGATCTGGACATTCCTACTCTGTAGCACAGTGTCCCCCTTTTTCTGCTAAATAGGGCCACAGTTATTTACAGATGAAGTTTCACTGCTTTTTACAAGCTGTTGCAATTGTATCTTATCTGTTCCTTTCTCTGTGAAATATTTTACGTGTGCTGCTTATCTGGTAATGATTGAAATAGTACTTTGAAAATCTAAAGAAAACAGAACAGGTATGGCTTGCTCTGGTTTGCTTTAGGGTTTTTTTTTATATGTATGTTTTATTCTGGAAAATTGATGAGAAATTAAATATTACAGTTTCGAGATGTCAGAGGCTCAACTCAACATGACTTTAATGTTTGGCTCTGTGTGCAGACAGAGCCTTGGATTTCAGCAGTCACTGGTGCACAGTGTAGACTGCTTCAGCACCAAATTCTCACTTGTAAGCAGTGCTTTAAGGAGATTTAACACCTGGCATTTTGCTAATTCTAAGGTTTTGGTCTGTAGTGTATGGTAAAGCTTCAGGAAGAGAGCACATGGTCGTCTGGGGAGCTTGGTTGGTTGAATGATTTTCGAGGAAACCTCATGAGGGCAGTATTAGGAATTGCAAAATGTGTCATAGCTGAGGAACTGAGTTCCCAAATGAACCTCAGGGCCTTACTTACTATGTAGGTGTTTTAGAACAGCAGGTGTTTTTGTGGGTTTTGTTTGGTTGGGGTTTTTTTTGTTGTTGAGGTAACTTTTAGTTAGACTATTTCTATTCCAACAAAATCCAGTGGGAAGTGACTAAGTGGATGCCTGTTGCTGGAAGCATGCCCTGCAGTCAGGATGGGATCAGAGCAGCTGTCCTGCAGCTTTTTGGTCAAGAGTAAGACACAAGGTGAATGTGGTTTGTCTGGTGCAGGAAACAGGTTTTGTAATTTATATTTTGGAATGAATTATTGTAGGTTTAGCTTTTGATGAGAGACAGACTGTTTTTGAAGTCAAATGTGTCATAATCAGCTGATAATGATTTTGACTCTTTTGCTTTTTAATCAAGTAGCTTGGGTAATGCTGCAATGGATATGACTCCAGTTTAAAGCAGAATTAAGAGAATTTGCCATTTATATTGACAGCTGAATTGTTCTCCCTTCTCTCCTTCATTTTTAGACAGCTGGGCTGGGAGTCTTCTCTGGCATTACTGTGAGACATGGGCCAGAAGGTCTCTCTACATTAGTACTCAGTGACTATTTATGACCTTCTCTAAGCTCTTAAATTATGTTGCTGGTTTTATAGACAAGGTGACAACAGAGTTTTCCAAACTTAAAAATAAGATGTGGACTGAGCAATGAGTTACATCTGTCAGTGAGACTGTTACTTGTCTTTAAGGATCTGTAGCAGTGTGTGACTGGAGGCTAGAATAAGCCCTTGCAAATTGGTCAAAGAAAAATAAGCTCTGTTTTTTTCAAAATCATTCTCAAGGCATGTTGCCCAGGCTGTTTTAAGGAATACCCAATTAGAGGCTGTCAGAAGATGTCTGGGATCAGGACCTCCCTGTTTTCCAGGCAATGGGTGTATTAGGCTTTAATTGGGAAGCAAGTGAACTGGCTATGGCGGAAAGTAGTTGGAGCAGAAGAAGAGACTTTCCTTGCTTAGAGGGTGGCTGGTATCTGCACCCCTGCCAGGATTTTCAGTGCCTGCTGCAGGGCAAGTGAAATGCCATGAGAGCTGAAGACATGTTTTCTTTAAAACTCTGAGTGGCAATTATACTAACTTGGACTTTTCCTTCAGTCCAAAGTTTAATGTGTCTCTGGTAAGGTTTGACTGTCAAACTGCCAGTGTCAGAAACTGGGCTGTATCCTGCTAAAATGACTCTTGCTACCCAACAGGAAAGCATTTCTGTCTGAACATACAGGTGCCTGCATAGGTCATTTCCCTGCTCTCCCAGGCCAAGAGCTGCGTTGTCAACAAACCAAGCTGTGAAGTGCTCCTGCCACTTCTGCGTTTCCTGTCCCTGTTCTGAGGCTGCTCTAAATGAAAGGGCCTTGCTATTGCCCTGATAACTAATCTATAGCACAGCTAACATCCTTGAGTAAAGAGATAAAGGCTTGCCAAACCCCAGCTGTTCTGGGTGTCTGGAAATAACAAATCTTTTTGATAGTCCTTCATGTCCAGCATGGGTTAGCCAAGTGTAGTGTTCCCATTCAGCAATAGGATTTTGAAGTGACTGAAAATGTTATGACCCTTACCTGGGAATCCATAGGTGTCCTGTTCTCTGGAGAATATTTGTACCTGGTAGTAATTCTCAAATGTCATTGCTTGGACAACAGTTATATTACATTCACCTATTTATAAACTGTCTCTAAAAAATATAATTGATAAGTAGAAAGAGTAAAAATGGAACTAAAAAGGACCACCTTATGCTATTCTGTACATGGGGGTGGGAACAGAGAATATTCCAATTTCAGGCTTAATTAGCTAATTACAGAATCAGAGAACTTGGAATCTTGGAATACGTGGCATAGAATACAGTGTGATTATTATGTGTAATTGAGCAGTTCAAAATTAAAATTAATGTAATCTTCAAGTCAGCTAACATGAAATGTGGCTTTTATTTTCCAGTGTCTGAAACTTGGAGTGACGAAACATGTCTCAGTCAGGTGAAAAAGTGAAGGTAAAGAGATGGCTGCATAGCCAAAATTTTGTTTGGACTCTATTCAGCTCCTGAAAATAGTCATGGTTTTACTGAAGTGGGAAATTGTGAATAAATGATACTTTATTGCTTCAGATGTGTTTCTTGAAAGGAACTGTCGAGTAGAAACAGCTTGTATGTGATTCTGGTAATAGGCTTGCTGGTGTTTGCTTTCACAGTCAGAATGGTGCCTTTACCTGAGGAAATTTCGTATGACAAACTTTCATTTTTAATGTTTTTGCCCACCTGGGTGGGCTTTAAAAAGATTGTTAGCAAATACATAATTACCTTGTAAGCAATTTCCCCTGTATCCTCCTGCCCCACTGGAAGTGTGGCAGGAAAACTGTTCTCACCATAAACTCATCTGTGAAGAAAACCTGATTCCAGCTAGCTCATAGGTCCCTAAATCAAGTGCCTTCAGTTCTTGTTTAGACTCCCATTAGGTTTTCAGTCGGTTGATAACAGCTGGTGGAGCACTGCCCTTTTTATAGCCCAAATCTCTTTGATAAGTTTTTCAGGCACATTTCTTTTTCCTGCTTTTGTGTTAGAAGTTACAGATTGTGGAGATTGGTGAACAGCTTAACAAGCAAAAGATTCATCTCTGATTGTATCTGGTAATCCTTACATTGCTGGGCAATGTTCATGTGTTTTTACATGTAAGCATATGTGTTATTTTTAAAGAAGGTATTAGCAGCAGATACCAGTCTTGAATAGGTATTTTTGACCTTTGGCTTAAAATCTTTTGGGATTTTTAGCTGTATTTACATTTTATGATTAATAATAGTGTGTTCTTGCAAGCCTGCAGATTTTTATTTTATCCAAGGGGAGAATACTGTTTATGTGTAGCCCAAGGTACTTACCTGATTTCTATTTGTATCAGCCTGCTTGGTGAATGGGCCTGTTCCCAGGTCTGCCTTGCTGTAGCAGCAAAAATTTATTTCATTCTCTACTTTTCCACATGCTTTATATACCTCTGCAGTTTATTGTGTAGAATCAATTGAGCTAGTTTTCAACTTTTTAGGGGGAAAGGGATCTCATTTATACTCCACCTTTGTTTTCTTGTCAGTTTTCCGACTCGGCAGGCTATGTGGGATTTGCTAATCTGCCCAACCAGGTTCACAGGAAATCTGTAAAGAAGGGCTTTGAATTCACACTGATGGTGGTTGGTAAGTGACTTCTTTAAGTATTTTTGACTGTTATACATCAACAACAAAATTTCTTTCAGATAGATGTGTTCGTCTTCGTACTTAGCAATTGACTGTTATGCAGAAGAGAAAGCTTTGAACCTCTGCACTTTCTAATTTTATCTCTTAGTATTTAGTCATGTTTAGTAGGAGGGAGTATTTGCAGTGATTGAAGATGATGACTTTGAGTCAACAGGACATTTTTGTATCCCTGACTCATTGTCAGATGGTAGGGATGGTTGTTTAGTCTTTCTCTGACTCCCATTTCCCCAGCTGAAGGCATGAAAGCACATGGTGGATATCTTGCTGTTGAAATGGTGATGCTGCTGTTGTGTGTGCTGTTCTGTACTGTACACTCTGTTGTCATAAACCTGTAATTGTCTTGTTCTGACAATGAGCACCTCTAAGTGTGTTTGATGGAGAGTCCTTTAGGCACAAAGCTCTTCCAGGAGACATGTTGAATTATCTTTGCATCAAATCAGTTCAATGTTATGAAAGTGCAAAGGGAGACTACAGTACTGTCACTCTTGTGTAGCACTACCTTGGAGTTACATGTTACTGAAAAATGAAAATGGGAAGAGATGCATTGCACCTCCTCCTTATTCTCTGTGCTCTGGAGTGCTGGTTGGGGTTATTTGTTGACAGTGCTCAGCAGTGTTTGTGAGACAAATAGGTAATTTGCAATAAGTGTTGTGTTTTTATTTCATGTAGTTTGACAGATAACTTCTCCATCCATAAAATAACATGGCCAGTTGTTCTAAGTGCTGTCCCCTTGAGTCCTTGGGTTAGGAAAAAAGTGACTTTTTGAAACTGAGATTTAATAGTTACATTTACATGTTTAACTTTATTACTTCAATGTAGGACAAAATGTGTATGACCTGAAGTTACAGAATTATGAAAACTCTCAGGTGAATTTGGAATAATTTTCTTTGATTTATGGTTTCATAGAACATACATAGACTTAACTGTAAGGATGCTAAACTTGACTGTCAGTTTGGGATTATTTCACCCATCTCCTTCCTAACAGTGTTCCAGGGTCAATTTCTAGCTCAGGAAAACCTTAAAGCTCCCAGAATTTTCAAGAGGAGAGTTACAGCTCCTTATTTCATAAGCTTAAATGAAAAAAGTAACTGAACTATCTCCAGATCTATAGTCCAAGTGCTGTATGACCTTTCAGCTTTTATTGTGACATCTATTACAGTAAACTTATAATTTTCATGTAACATTTACAAAAACACTGGAGGGTTGTTTTTCCGGTGTTTTCAAAGTGCTTAGCTGAACCTTTGATGTTTTTATATCAAAAGCTTGGGTGGATCCTGATGAACAAATTATTTTTCCTCCATAATGTGGGCTTGGAGAAAGACAAGGCTTTAAAAAGCTTGGGGTAAAAAGTGTATATGCTTAATAACCTGAATTATTTTGTTTGTAGGTGAGTCTGGCTTAGGAAAATCCACTTTAATTAACAGTCTGTTCCTGACTGATCTTTATCCAGAACGTTATATTCCTGGAGCTGCAGGTAAATGTGGTTTTGCAGTTCCTCCAGCACATACCCTATAAAATTTCACATTCTTTCAGTTAACATTGCTTCGTTCTGATAACTTCACCCATGGCATCTTTTCTCCATGCTATATTTTAATCCTCCAAATTATATTTTATTCAGCTGTCATGTTCCCATTTATATTTCTTTTCAAACACTCAGCTTTGGTTTCTTCATCACTTGTTATTAAAGAAATCCAACCCCCAAAACTTTTGGGTATCAATATACCTAAATGTGGTTTGCTCTAATCCCCATTTCCTCTAATGCTTTTTGCCTGTAATGCCTTCAATCCTGATTAGAGCTGTAAATACCTTTTGACAAACAATCTAGCACGTTTTTGAGTATTATAATTTTACTTTTGCATATTGTCATGACTAACCCTGTTTTACTTCACTGCTGCAGTTTATGTACAAAAATTTTGCCTAATAGCTTGTTCTTGTCTAGAAGATATTTTATGTTGTGTAGGTTACAATATTCTTCAGATGGCAGTTCCTCCTCAATTGCTCTCTCTCCTGTGGGGGTTTCTGCAGCAATTGATAGGCTTAATAACAATCCAAATGTTCCTTTATTTTAGAGAAAATAGAGAGAACAGTTCAAATCGAAGCATCTACAGTAGAGATAGAGGAGCGAGGGGTGAAGCTGCGTTTAACAGTAGTTGACACACCAGGATATGGAGATGCCATTAACAGCCAGGACTGGTATGTGTGTAAATACTGCTTTGTTAGTACAGTGTGTCTTACCCAAACACTCCTCTAGTGTCTCTGTCTTTTACGTTCCACATCTTCCAGTTTCAATTTTCTAACCCCTTCTCAATGTTTTTCAAAGTTTTGGTCAGGGTTCCCTAGACTGTCTGTGGTTCTGCCTCAGAATTGATGGCCTCTCCACCAGTCAGGTTCTCTGGCAACTGCAGTGAACTTTCTGTCTCCATGACCATTCCAATAGGGTGGAATTCTGGTGGGGGAAAATTTTTTGTCTTTTTACTTTCTGTGTCTGTGCCCCATCCAGTTTTCATGTTTTTAAAAGACAGTACTTTTCATTCCCTGTCCTTTATATATGCTGCTAGCAATTTTGATAGAACTACTTGGGTTTTTTGTTATGATGAAGTTACTTCTTGTAGCTTTCTCTTGTCTAAATGTCACTGATAATCTTTAATGGATGAGGTAATTGTTCAGCAGCTACACTGCACAACATACATAATTGCTTTATCATTATGATCGTGAAGAAAGGAGATGATCATGTAGCTAGAAAGGACCTGGGCAGTTTGTAACAGAATTAATAAGTTCATAAATGTATTTTCCAAATAATCATAATCAATTCCCTTGTACTGTGGAAAACTGATAACTTTTTTCAAATACAGGTGAGATCTATTAATGTGCTTACTGGGATGCCTGACTTACTCCAGCACAACTAGAACCTAAACTTTGGGTTTCCACATAGTTGCCTTTTAAGAAGTGCAAACAATATTTATTTTGCTTAGCCATTAATTTTGCTGACACTCTTTTGTGGTGGTAAACCTAAGGCAAGCAGAGTGTCACTGTGCAGAGCAAGGGAGCATGAAACTAACTAATACAGGTTGATTTGAGTTATTCAGTCTAAGTTAAAGATCAGGAAAGAGGCAAATAGTTGATAAAATAAGCATCTGTAATGCTAATAGAATGTTTTGTTCTTTTATTGACACAATGATGTTATCCAGAGCATTCTGAAGAACATAGTTGTCAGACATGGGTTTTCTCTTCTTTCTTTGGTGTACTGTGGGAACACAGCTAAAGTGAAGGCAGTGAAGTTCTATGATACACTAAATGAAAGTTTGAAAGTGAAGCTTCAGTGGGATTTTTATTTTCCTCCCACTTTTCCTCCTTTAGTAAGCTGAAAAAACTTGAAGTTTTGGAATAATACAAAGGCATCTTTCTAGACTGCAGCATGGTCTTGCTTATTTTGTGTGCTGTCGACTAGAGCTTCCTTCCGCTGGAGCTGAGAGCTCTGCAGCCTGTGTATTGTGTTACACAGAGCTCTTCCTGTTGATTGTGTGCTAATGCCCTTTGTTTATTCTCTTAAGATGTTTCTTAGAGACCTACGTGTTTGGATTTTTCCCCTTTCTTTTGGGAAGCTTCCTAAATAGAGTCACTCTATGGTGATTCAGACCCAGTAGAACAATTTACTGGCTTATACGTAGTTTGCTGTGACAAATCTTGAACATCAAAATATGTTACAGGAACAAATAGTACTTACATACCAGACAATAAAAAGGTGCAGTTAATGTCTCTCTTGTCTAATTTTCTTAAGTCACATGGAAAGCCTTTGAGCCATGGCAAGTGTCATTTTGACAAAGTCTGTTAATCTTTACAGGATGTTGCAGGGACTGGGATGGATAGACTCTTTGTTTCAGGCTGTAGTGAAGACTAACCCAGTGCAACCACCTTCCTTCCTTGGTAGTTCAGAGGAAGGAGCAAGTTCATGTTCTTGAACTTACGTTTGTGTTCAGGAGCATTTATTGCAGCCGTGGTTAACCAGTAGATGGTGCTGATCATGATCCCAGGTTTATACACCCCTTGTTTTGGAAAGGCTGCAATTTGTACGGACTATTTGTTTTTCAGGGTGATTTTGAAAAGGGGTGAATCACTGACACTATGTCTCTAGGAGGCAGCAATCACTGGGAGTGTTTCAAATTTCTTTCTCCTGAGTAGGTTTCCTAATGGCTTTTGGTTTCTGTCTGTGCACTGAAGAAAGGGCTAAATTCTAGAGTTTGACTTTCATGGATGGGAGCTGAGGTAAATTTTTATGTATTTTGCATCACAGAAAAAGGACGGGTGAGGATTATGTGCTGTCAGAAGTTTTTCCAGGTCTTCTGGATTGGAAGAACATCAGTGTTGGGAAATGAGTTGTTATAGATTTAGTACAACACACTTTCTAAAGCACATTATTTCTTGTTTTCCCAATGCCATTGTACTTAAAGCAGCCTGCAAGGAAAAGTGGAGCCTATCCACAGTTAACCCTAGTGATAATTTTTTAGATTCCATGTGAAGCTTTAGTGCTAGCTGGAGTTCTGTATTCTAGGATCAAACCGCACTGAGGATTGCTCTTGGCATCAGTTTGTGTGTGTTAGGAGAAGAGCAAAATTCTTTATGGTGGGAGGCTTGATGCATTTGATGTCTTTTCCATGCCTAAGCATGTTGGGATTGTGAGAGAAGCGTGTCCTTAAAGTGACATCATTCATGAGACAGAAGAAAAAGGATCTAATCAGGGGAGGAAAAAAAACTGCTTGATGCAAATCTGGTCTCAAAAAGAGATGAACTTGTTAGGTACTGTTGATCGTACACTTTGTTTCCTCTTGCTTGTAGTGTCGCAGGTCGTTGTTTGATAGCTGCCCTCTGGCTGCTGCTAATTCTTTTCCCCCTAATTTTAGTTTTTAACTGACTTATATTAAGTTGTATTTTGTGGGGTTTGGTGGCTTGATAATACTGTTCATTTTCCCCCAGTGGGCTTAAATGCAATGGCTGTGTTGTTTGCTGTTACGATACAGGATGTGCTATCTCCTCAGTAATGACAGCACAGTGGTATGAGCCAGGTGTTTCCCGGAAGTCAGGAGGTACAGGACACCAACGCTGTATTTATAGGGAAAATTATAGCTGTTAGAGCTAGAAAACCGCACGTAAACTAATTACATTGCCAGGGAAATGTGTGATAGTTCTTTCCTATTGTTAGTGCTTGCTTTCTGTCCTCATATTTGTATGTCTTCAGTCTTGTTACCTTTTACCAGCTAAGAGGAGAAGTATCAAAGATCAACGGGAATATAAACCATGTTGTTGTATTTCAGCATTGAGATGCTGTTTCTTAAAGAACAGCACTAAGGCCAAAACTCAGTGAGTTCCATGCTTTGCTGTGCTGTCTTCAGTAGTATGACTTAGAACAGCTAAATCTTGCAAAGGTGTAAGCATGTGTATATATACCACTATGGATTGATTCCTCCTCAGTCCAAAAGCTTACTGTGCTTTGGAAAATCAAATTCCCTCCAGGATCTCTACCATGATTCTTGTTGCTTTCTCTTATTATCTTCTTTACAGCCATGCTGCCCTGGGTTGAACGTCGCTGCCTGTCACAGTATTTACCATCATTCTGTCTTCATTTTCCACATTACTAATTGCTTTTTCCTGTTACCTTGTCTATTTCCTCCTTAAATGTCTCTAGTCAAATTTGTGCTTTTTCAGCAACAGAAACACTATTTTTCAAGTTAAGCTTTCTGCTTAGTTTCTCCCCAAGTAGTTTAAGACATGTTGATGACACACAGTCATCTGCCTAATCTTATCTACATCAGTGTGTTCATTTCCCTTCCCCTGCAGTACTTAATAGAAAGTGTCCTTTTATATTAATGGTGTTTGCAGGTGTCTACATGCTCTGGAATAGCTTAAAACGATCTTCTTATTAGTGTGTTGTGTTTACTTTTCTCTCTCTAGTCACTGCTTTTTGTATCTGATTAATCTACGTGATCAGATTTTGTGTTCCCTTACTTCTTTTTAGGGAACATTTTAAATTGCCTTGAACTAAGAAGGAATTATTTTTCTTTGCCAACAGAAAAGGATTCTGTAAGGTAACAAAAATAGCTTGATAAATCACGTGGTGCTCGAGTGCATGACTTGCAAGCGTATTTGTATCTAATTCAAACAGACTAGAATACCAAAATTTTTATAGGTAACTACAGAAACGTGGCTCTAGGGTCAGGGTTGTAAAGCAAGAGGATATACATGATATGTCATTTGCCAGCTGATTTAAAAAACAAATCCTTACCCCCACCCCTCAAAAAAAAGGCAGAAAAATCCTCAGTCTTCTGTTCCTGTCTGTGTTGTTTCCACTGAGTGCTTTTCTCTGAGCTTGCACTTGAAGTTCTTACCCTGTGAACAGAGTAACACTTGAAAGTAGCTCAAGGATAAGTAGACACTTGGTGGTTGTTACAAAAATATCTTTTTGCAGTAACAAAATACTTTTCCTCAGTACTAGATACAGTGCTAAGAAGTGGATTTTTTTTGTAACACAAATGCTTTTAATGAAAGTGTCATCCTCTTCCTGTTCTTATCTTTTTGTAATTATTTTCTTGTTATTTTAAAGCTGAGGTAAGATGCCTCTCTTTCTCCTCTCTTCCATACCACAGCTTCAAAACAATTATCCAGTACATTGACAACCAGTTTGAGCGATACCTGCATGATGAGAGTGGCCTGAACAGGCGCCACATCATAGACAACAGAGTCCACTGCTGCTTTTACTTCATCTCTCCCTTTGGGCATGGGTAAGCAAAAACTCTTGAGCTTGAGTATTTTAGGCTGTTATATCATGTTCATAAGCCTGTTTATTACTTGAGTGAGTAACTTAACTTTAATGTTAATTGAGTTACTTCCCAACCTGTCAGTTAACCAATGCAATTAAAATGGTCTTTGGGGATTAATGCTCTCATCTACTTTGTCCCCTTCTTGGCATTTAATATGGTTTTAAAGCAGTGAGTACTAGCATTGTTTATCACCCAGAAACATTACACTTTTAATATCCAATTTATTATATAGTGACAATTTTAACTGCAACTCAGCCTTTACACAGCCAAGCTGGTAAGCAAGGGCTCTGACTTAATTTACTGTGGAAATGCTGTTTATGTAGACACTTGAAATAATTTTTAATACATTTGGTCTGTTAAAAAACAAACAACACAAAGCCTATCACTTTTTTTAATCCTTTTATTTCCTCCTTGTTGGCAGACTGAAACCACTAGATGTAGAGTTCATGAAGGCTCTTCATGGAAAAGTCAACATTGTCCCTGTGATTGCCAAGGCTGATACACTGACACTGAAGGAGAGAGAGAGGCTGAAGAGAAGAGTAGGTCTAACACTTGATCATGAGAACAGAGCAACCCATACAATGTTAAAGCCAAATATAAAGTAATTTCAAACTGAAGAGGGGTGAATGATATTGGCCAAGGACCTAATCTTCAGGAAGTGTGAGGTGGGAAATCTTCACTGAAGTCTGATGTGCTTTACCAGTTACACTTGCTGAGAATCTGGCTGCTCTTGGCTTCATCCATCTTAGCAAGCAGTGCACCCCAACAGAGCAGGTTTTGAGCAACATGGTTTGTAACAAGGGCTCAGATCATCCACAGCAATAACGGAGATATTGGTGGCTGTACAAGTCTTTCACCTTAGATCTAATTTCCATTCCATTTCCACTAATCTCATCACAGAATAATCTGGTCAATGAACGTAAATATTTGATCTTGTGTGGTTTATCCTCTTTGATGGAGAATGACTTAATGCATCTTGTTAATGAAAGGAATGGGTAGGTGGTGAGATTCTGTTATGCTGAGAGGTGTCCCAGTAAAATTTATCAAAATCTAATTGACTCAAAACCAGTGCATTAATTTGTAAAGGCCTAACAGATTTGAACCCTACAAACCCTGTGAATTTTTACAAGTTTAATAACTTATGCCTTGAGTAGTGTAGGGATAATGAGCTGTTGTAAAATGCAGTCTGTATTTTACACCAGAGTATGCAAACATTTTTTCATGGTAAGATTCTATCTTTCATATTATATTTTCATGGAAGACACAGACAGTTGTTTTGATTGTGATCCTCTGGCTTCCAGGAGCCCTTTAGAATGGTTATTGGATCTTTACTCCAAGGGCTTTTGTGTGAGGGTATTTTTCTGTTTTCTGGAGAGAGACTACAGCTTTTATTTAGCTAGGAAAATAGTATAGTTAAAAGTATGCTGAACTCAACCTAAATTAGAGGATTTGTTTAGGGCTTTGTTGTGTGAACCAGTGCTACAATCACAGGTGTGACTGTGGTTTGTGTAGGCATGTAAGCAACTACAGTTTGACAGGATACTGTTTGCATTGCTGTTGTGTTTGTATAAAGCTCAGTGATGTAAGAAAACTTGCCCAAGAAATGGAATAGGCTCTTAGTGTCTGAGGAAGTTAAAAGTGGGGACAGCTGTGACTCTGTGAACCTTGTCTGCTTCGAAGACAGACGTCCACTGATGGGAGGAGAGGTATTGATACAGAACTGCCCAGCTCTGTGGTGAAGTTGAAAGGAGGAACCAAAAAATAAAAGGTCACTCATTGAGACAAAATGGACCTCTAGATCTTGCTGTGAGAAATTCTGTCCAGGCTCTTGAGCTTCTGTTTTGTTCCTCCACAAATGCTATGAGGTGATATCAGGTACTGTGGGCAAATTGAAGGAACTCATAGGGAAATAATAAGGCAAAAATGTGGCTGAATATGCTGGTTTTATTGCTTCTCATTTTCTGTGGGTGTTACTGACTTGGCAAAAAATTTTTATCTTATAGTAATATTGTTTGTGGAGCTGCTACTTTCTATACAGAAACTGTATTTGGTCTTTCAGCAGTGTCCTTCAGACTCAGTTTCCATAGGTACTTAGTTTTTGGTTCAGCATTCGTGAGCAGAATGATGTTGGAAGATCTGAAGGAAGCATTTAAGTGGAATGTTAATTACTTTACAGTAATGATAATTCACTGGGAATCTGAATGTTCTGTCTGTTCAAATACATAAAATGGACTGATACAAAAAAGGTCCTAGCTACAGTCATCTTCCACAAAAGTAGTTTTTAGGTAAAATGAAGAGGAATGTGGTTTTAGCAGGTTTCAATACTTGTAGTTGTTTTGAGGCTCTCACCTGTGCTCCTTTTATCTGCTGCTTGGTGGCCCCAGAGAAAAGCATTGTATAGTCCATGTGCTTTATGACATTCCCTTCTCTGCATTGTTAACACTGGATTTTAGCTGAAACATGGCAGCAGTGCAAACAAATGTTGCCCAATGTGAATTGGGAATTGCTTATATTTCAGTACAGTTCTGTAAGCAATGTTACATTGAGGGTTTATTGTGGAAGATGGAGATGAATCCCAGTTTACATACTCTGTGATGAACAGGTTAATTTAAAGACACCCTCTCTTGACCATATTTAGTGCTGATGCATGTCCAGCTCTTTCTAGTTTGAGCAGTTACTTTTAACTAACTAGTCTTTAAAACTGTCTTGGCTTACACATATGGACACCACATTTATGCATTGGCTGAGAACAGCGAGATGAATGGCATCTGTAGTCTGAGGGAGTGGTTAGGAAGCAGGTAAACAAGCCTTCATTATTTTTATACTGCTGGCAAAGGTCACTCTGCAAACTGAGTTTATATTAAGTCAAATGTATAATGTTGTTCCAAAGCTTTGAAAGTCAAAGCTACTGTATATTGTTCTAACTCAAAGCATCTTGGCGAACAGAGTCGCTAATCAAGAATAGGAATCAAAGCCCTGCTTTGCTGACGCAGCTTGCAGTCTTACTTTTTTTAGATGTTTCTGCCATTTGGCCATCAATCTGAAGTAAAATGTTTTTGTTTTGCCGCTACGGACTAAGCAGCAAGATTAGCTGGTGGTGCTTGCAGAGGAAACCCAGCTTGGAGTAATTCCTGTTTGGTCTTTCTGGAATTCAAAGTTATTTTTTTAAAAACTCTTGAGTGGGAAGAAATGCAAGGCAGTTTCACAAGCTGTGCCATGCAAGCCTGCTAAGGAAACATGCTCAAAAGAATGACTTCATGAGAGGGGAACTAATATTTTGACTTTTTTTTTTTTTTTAAATTTCCCATGGGAAGGCTAATCTTTAGGAACACAGAACCCTCTGAGGCCAATAAAATTCAGATTTGAAGCAGCAAAATGCTGTTTCATTGTTAGAACCATAAAATACAGTTTGTTTTTATTGCCATTCTTTTTCCTTTCAGGAAAGCACTAGGTTTAACAGCTGTAATATATTATTTTAGCACCCCTTGCTGTCGGCTTTCCCGTTATTGTTTCACTAGCAGTTATCTTTGAGATCTCAGCCAGGTTAAATGTCCTTTCTTGTTTCATGCTGCTAGTTAAAGTCATCTCACTGCAGTACTGCCACACCTCTCCCAGCTGTGCAGCTTCCATTATCAGTCCGCGACAATTTCGTTCTCTTCCATTTTGCAAAACAGTAGCAACACGCGCTGATTTAAATGTCACTGTGTGAATGGAGCTGTTAATTGCTTATTGGCAACACTTCTTCCCAAACGTCTATTTTCTTTTAAAAATCTTTCTCTCTGCGTAGGTGGAGGCTCAGTGTTTGATTCAGCATGAGCGCGTGTGTGAGTGCGGGGGATGTTTATGTACCTGGCAGAAAAACATTGTCGGGGGAATAGCCGTGGTTCATACATGGTCTTTCCTCTTCTAATGGTCTGGAGAAATGTTTTATTTTAAACAGCTGTTCAGTAATCAAGCTCTGGTTGGACAAGCTTCATTTTTACTGTAGCTGTCGGTTGCCATCACGACACAGGATGAGGGAACCCAACAATACTACGAGAAGGCTCATTAAGACCTCTCATCTATTTGAAGCCTGGTTGTGTTTGTGTTATCAAGTTAATCTCCAGTTATGTATGTAGTAATGGCACCACAAGTCCTTACGTAGGCTTTCCTGAATGTTTTTACCATTACCTCAAAACCCTCCCTGATTTGTCTGCCCTGAGCTCCTGCCTCACTGTAGTAGTGCAGCTGCTTGGTTCAGGTGCTGTTTGTGGGGTTACGGTTGCAGCTCCGTAGGGAATACTGCTCTGGGAAGTTTGCACAGTTAACCCTTTTCTTCTGAATCATCCAAGATCCCCTTGAAGAGAGTCGTTGTGGAACCTCAGCATTTTTCATGCTCTGCTCATACCACCATGTTTTCTTTACTGAAAGGAAGTCTTGTCAGTGCATTTAATGTAGGGATAAGAGCTGACTTAAATATTTTTAGTAGTTTGGCAGTCGAAGCATTCCCTTCAGTTTCGAAGAAAGGATTGACTTGTGCCACCTTTTGAAACTGCCAGAGGCTTAGAGTTACGTTAGCTGCTCACCCTGCTGTGATTTCATTAGAAAAAGAATGTATGCAGGAACAGAGGTACTGTATGGTCATCTCAGACATTAGGCACAGTAAAGAAAACTGTTTATGGGCATTTTTTTCTTAGTTGATTTTTAATTACTTTCTCCAGTTTAAGTGGACAATAAGCTTTTGTCTCTGATTCAAGTGGCAGTAGGCACTGTCTTTTACATTTTTCTATGTATCAAATACACAAAAACGTATTTTGATGAGGGCTGAATGGTTTTGATGCTGTAGCTAGTGAATCCCTTCTCCAAGTTCATTGCTTTTACTCCTTTTTCATATTAGCTTCACTTTGCTTTTGTCTGACTCTGTATTATGTGTCATGTAAGTCTTCTGGGTATTTTTAATGATTTACATGCTGTGTTTTCTAAAAATGCATTTATCTTTTGTGCCTTTTAAAAACTTTTCAAGCCTCTGTTATTTGGCACTGTGGACACTAAGTCAGGTGCATGTTTGTGACAGACTAGTAAATAAATTGTATGTATTTTTAACTGAATACCTCTTCAATGAAAGAAGAATTTATTGTTCCTTCTCTTTTGTAAACTCTCAGGTTCTGGATGAGATTTCCGAACATGGCATTAGGATTTATCAGCTCCCTGATGCAGATTCTGATGAAGATGAGGAGTTTAAAGAACAAACTAGAGTTTTAAAGGCAAGTTTCACTCCTAGATTATTATTTTGCTGCACTAGTTCTTCCATCTGCAATATGCCTAAAGGTACTTTATTCCTTTTATTATGTGTTGAAAATTGCAGTTTTCTTTGGGTGTTGACTCTGAATTATAATTCTTCTTATTCCAGTCTCTGCTTTATCAGAACTCCAAATGTAGTGTGTCTTTCTTTTGAGTGTAAGCCACTGTTCACCAAGAACTATTCTTTGCAGTCTGTTTTCTGACACAAATGTTTTAACATACAAGCAAGGAGAGAGAATGTATGTGTGTTATGGTTGCTGTACTAATTAACAACTTTCCTCTTGTTAGAGCAGATAATAAAGGTTTTACTGAAGTAATTTCCTCTGTGCTGTGATACTTGCAAAGGTAGTTGAAGAATGTATCTGAAATTCCCTCTCTAGCAACTTTAATCTGTATCTGAAGTATGTTTCTGTTGGCTGTTCTCCATGCATGATGTTATGTCAGGTGACACATTATGTCCAAACTGTATTTGAACAACAGTCAAGTGTTCCTAAAGCAAAGCGTCATTTCCTTCTGTGCCTCTGGTAAGACAAACTGATCCTAACAAAGCTACAGGTGTCCATAAGGAGAGATTGTGTTGCCTAGAATAGGATTTGTTGGTTTTCTGATGTGGAAGGATTTTAGTAGAGAGCATTTGTCAACATTTCTTTCCCCCCCTTGCCTGTTTGTAATTGAAGTCTTTGTGCTTTCTTTAAAAGAAGGACAAAACAAAGGACAAGAATTAACCAGTAACTTGTTTTGCTCTGTCTCAACTAGGCTAGCATTCCCTTCGCTGTTATTGGATCCAATCAACTTATCGAGGTGAAGGGGAAAAAAATCCGGGGCCGCCTGTACCCCTGGGGAGTTGTGGAAGTTGAAAATCCAGAGCACAATGATTTCCTTAAGCTGCGCACAATGCTGGTGTGAGTAATGGTGAAGTGACTCCATCTCCTGTGCTGTCACAATGACTAAAGAGTTATAAGAGCATGAGCTCCTTAGTGACTCTTTAGTCCCCTGCAGCTTGTTTTGATGCTGTGTCCTCTGACTTCAGAAAACAGTGCTATACTTTACACTGGCAGATAGATGTGATGGTTTTATGCTTTATGTGAACTGATTGGATGGATTTACGTATAAACCAAAGTTTTGTTGCAGTTCAGTCTGTGGGGCAGAGAGACTTTTAAAATATTATTCAAAGTGAAGAGCAAAGTTCAGTTTTCTTGGCAGTATAGGAAATCCTTTGTTAAATGTGATACCCCACCCCTTTATGGCTTTAGCTGATAGGATATTCTGCCTGCGTAAATGGGTTTAAGTGTTTTTTTAAAATGATGTTTTGTTGCTGTTGGAAATTGAATTCTGTTGTTCCAAATTCAGTCTCCTTAGGGCAGGGATTGCCCTCTGCTGGGCATTGGGAGCAAACGGGTTTTCCTTTTGTTTTTTGACAATTGGAAATTGTTAGGCAATGTCAGCTGTTGTGTGAGCCAAGGAGCTCCACCTAGTTCTCAGTTACAAATTATACTTAACAGCACTTAGGAGTCGTAAAATACTTTAGGAATCAAAGTATCTTGCTGAATAATCGTCTTTGCAAGGTTCTTAGTGCTACAGAGACTGGTACAAACAACTCCTCTAAAGCAGTTAGTGGTCAACAGGAGGACAGCATACTTTGGGTCTTTGAAGAATGTTGGTGGGGGCACTTAGGTATGAATTAAAGACCAGTGAACCAGAAAGCAGAGTTCTGTCTGGCTTTATGGCAGGCTTCAAGGCTTTATCTGTCTGGTAAATACATCCATTATATAAAACAGAAATAGAAGACAAAAGGGTGTTTTTCTTTGTTTTGATGAGAAGCGCACACAGTGTTTAATATCCCTTTGCATATTCTAGAACACATATGCAGGACCTGCAGGAGGTGACCCAAGACTTGCACTACGAGAACTTCCGTTCGGAGAGGCTAAAACGCACTGGCAAGTAAGTCTGTGCAAACCTCTGGGCTTGTGACAATGAACTTGCTCTTCCTCCTGACATCCTACCTGTAACTAATTATTTTGGATGAGATTTCAGTCTGTGGAATGACTGAAATTTGTATGAAAGGCTGTTCTTGAAGGGGAGTAATGTATAGCAGAGCGCCGTGCTTACAAGCACCTGTTGTTGGTTGTGTCCATACCCTTTTGTTGGTGCTTTTAATTGGAATGTGCATGAAGAGATGGTCTGCAAGCAGGATAGGTGTTTATTTAATGACGTCTGCTTGGAGAAAATAAATGCTAGTGGGCACATTTAAATGGGCCTCAGGCTACCTGATGAGGTAGGATGTTGCTTCTCCAGTTATTGCAGGACTGGCTACTTCATGTATAGCCAAAGAGAGAAGTTTAGACCAAACAATCTTTCCTGATAATATGTGGGGGGTTTGTGGAGTTTTCTTTTTTTCTTTTTTTTTTTTTTCTTCCTGGTAAGGTTTCTATCCTTGGCAACTTCATGCAAAAAATCTGCATCTACCTTTGGTGCATCTTTTTCGATAGCAACTTATTCTTGTCCACACATCATTTGTTCTTTAAGTATTCAACAAAGCATTTTGATCTGAAAGAAGAAAGGAAATAGCCTACACAGCTTTTTAGTGATTGATTTTTGTACCTTGGATAGATGGTGGAGGAAATCTCTTCATTAGAGTAACTTGTAGAAAAAGCTGTATAGCAGTGAAGAAATCAAATTCTGATGAATGGAGAGTGAATAACAGGAGTCTGTAGGGTAAACATGGCCTGTTACAAATGGGAAGCAGGAGTTTAAGAATGCCCTAATTTCCCCTACGCATGTAGGCTGTGTTTGATGGTATATTAATTGAAATATGAGCCTTGAATCTGTTCTTGGAGATTTTTACTTCTGTATTTTATACTTTCAATGCATTCTTCTCTTCAACAGGCCTGTCGAAGAGGAAGTGGTAGACAAGGATAGAATCCTCCAGCAGAAAGAGGCTGAGGTAAGAGGGAGCTGCTAAAATTGTTGTGCTTTAACGTAACATGTTGTGTTCCAATTTCAGTATTCTACATCAGTTACTGCCTACAGAGTGTTCAGTTGGAGTTGTGGAAAATGACAGACCCAATGTGAACATTCAAGTTGCTCATACAGTGTTTTGTTTGTAGTTCCTTGCATTGTGGACGAGAGGTAGTGTGTGGACTCTTGCTCGTAGGCAGGATACTTATCACTTCCCATTTATTTATTAATTTGCCATATGGATATTTGCTACTTTAAGTATTGAAATCAGTTTATGTTTGTCAGCTACATATGCTGCCTTCAACATAGTATGTTGGGATAGATAGCAGTCTCATGTCATTTCAGATGTGCATGTGCTTACTGCAAGCATGTTACCAGTAAAGTCTTCTTAGGTCTTGTGGAGTAGAATAGGGCTGTTGAGTCTTAAAAGTGCCATGATATAATTAATGTGTATGTTTTTTCATCTTTAGTCTCAGCTTAATTCATAGTGTCTCTGTTGCACTTGTTAACTTATGGATTTGCTGTTTTCAAACTCTGGTCAGAGTCTGATTTCAAACTCTCACTCTGGTCAAGTTACTGCTGGGCCTTTCAACTTAATATTTTTGTGCAAAAGAAAAGATGCAGAAATTTTTAACAGTATTTAATTTCAAGCAGGACACTGCCAGTGTTTGACTGCTTGCACTGTGAAAACTTGACGCTTGCTGCCAATTGCAAGATATTGTTTTTTCTGTTTATCCTTTTATCCAGTTCAGCTTGGATCCAAGTCCCTAAGTGCAGGAAGGCATGATTTATAAGATCAGTGCATATATGCAGTGATTTGGAGTAAGAAATCAAAACCTGCCAGCAGCTTTGTGTGTTTCTGAGGTGAAAGATTGACTCCCATACATGGAGAATTTTGAAATGTAGTTGCTTGTGTCTATGCATTTCCTTTTTCCTTTATAGCATCCATATTTAAAAATAGCTAACCCTGGTGAGCTATTGGCTAACCCTGGCGTGTTGACATAAATAGCAAAAAATGTTCCTAGGAGGAAATGTAGAAGCAGCTGATTATCACCATAATTAGTAACTAATAATATGAATTACTGGAGATTAAACGAGCTGCATATTTATCACTGTATAACTTCATTTCAGCAGTGTAAGCACACTCGATGGCAGTGCACTTGCAAGAGTAGAACTTCTGCAAGTGCTTTGTACACAAATTAACTGCCTCCCATTTAATGTGTGTGCAAACCACCACAGCCCATCAGATGAGAGCCAGTGCTGCTGGATGCTGTGAAAATGTCAAGAGCATTTTTTGAAGTGTTATTTGTTTTACTTTTCCTTAATGCTTGTGAGATTCAGGCAGTAGACTTAGAGAATTTAAGGCATAACTGTTTCTCCTGTTACTTGAACTATGTAAATTATACATGTCTAGTAGTTAAGGAGAAACTTGGGTATCCTTGTAAAACTATTTTAAGACTTATGTCTGAAAAAATTCCCCTATAACCATTTCCCCTGGAAACTGTTGATATGGCAGCACATTATTATATACTGGTCTGTTCTGACCACTGTGTGAATGTATAGATTCATATATGTATGTAAGTATGGATATATTAATGTATAGATTTTTTCAAATATGTAAGTATGCAAATGTGTCTTACATAACATGGCTAAAGGGATGGAATTTTGAATTTCTTGGAGGACAGTCTTTGAAAGCTTCCTCTGGAGCTAATCATCTCTGAATAATTGCTGCTGAAGTTGCAGAGGATTAGGTTAGAACTTGAAAAAACAAATACATTTTTAACTTTGGCATTCTATTGTCCCAAAGAGATCAAGAGGCTTTGCTGAATCTTCTGTAGATAAGCTACTGTGAAGTCACTTCATCTCCAAATCATCCCTAAGGTGCAGACTGGGAAAAATCTGTGGAGGAAAGAGGCACAGAGGAAATGGGCTTGCATTCCATGGCCTTCACAGAGAAAACAAATATCCATTTCCCCTCCTGTTTTGCATTCCCATCAGTAACGGTGCTTGAAGTTCTATTTACAGTTTTGTGAGGTTTATATAACCTTGGAAGGAATGAATGCTTGGGCTAGTGCCAGGATCATCTTTATCAAGGCATCACTTTTGCGAAATGATCTTTTATTGTGCCAAAGGACATGGTCCCCAGTTCAGCAATTTGGAATTGCTAATCTGTCATTTTGGATTTATTGCTCTGTCTGGTTGTGCTTTTGCTCATTTGCAAGTGATGACTTGTTTTTCTGAGCTGGAAAGTGCAAGTAAGAATAAAGATACTCATCTTATTTACTATAAATATGCTGCATTACAGATTATTTTGATGTTGTAGTGTAAATGGACACAAACTTAGTTTGTAGTTTTGTGCCATGTTCTTCCTACTCCAAAAACATATTGTAATAAAAACCTTTCAAAGTTTTGAAAGGCAATACTTCCAGAAAAATGTTAGGGCTGTGATTACATAAAAACAGCAAGGAATAAACTTCCTCTGGTTTCTCCAGTGAGCTACCCTGAGGCTTTGGGCAAATCCCTTTGCTCTGCTGTCTGCAGTGAAGTTGGTCAGCAGTGGGCCGAGTCTAGCAGAATGAACTGCAATATTGAAATTGTTTTCTGTCTTTCCACTTTCTGACCGTGTTTAACCCTTTGGCAGATGAGATGAAGAGCCTGGGTTAGTGTGGCAGTCAGTGGGGGGACAGCCTGCAGTGAGAGGGCTGCCAGGTGGGGGCCAGCAGGGGCCCTGTGGGTGAGTGAGGATGTGATGAATGTGTGCAGGTAACTGCCTGGTATTGCAGGTATATGGGAAAGTATTTTCTTGAAAGATCAGATGGAAACTTATGTGAAGAGACAGCATGACTGCTGATGAAGACCTGCAGATCTGAGGGAAATAAAACCCCGGTCTAAAGTGTAATTTGTTTGTGGGATGTTATTGCCCAATGTAGGGAGGCTTCAGCCTTGCTCTGTGAAGTGATGTAGTCTTAGACCTGAAGAATATCATAAGAGGAAAACCGTTAGTAAGCAGTTAGCAGTGGGAATCCCTTAGGCACTGGAATGAAAAACACCTTTTTTTATTATTTTTTTTTTTTTTGTCCCTTTGAGTTGTTTTTTGAAGGAATGGTGCATTCTGCCCATGTGGTGTGATGACTGTGGCCATAGTGATTTTTGCTCTTTATGTCAACATGTCCTATGAAAGACATTTATATCAATGGTAGCCCCGTTTCTACTACAGTAAACTTATCAGGAGTATTTTTCTTGTCTTCAGTTAACAAGGTTATTTGTATTCTTTGGTATTGGAAGCATTTTTAATCAACAGCAACTGTCATGGGAACATCCACTAGGAAAATCCACTGTGCAGTTTTCCATCTTGCTATATTCTTGCAGGCTCTTCCACAGTGTTCAAACAGGAGCAGTATTTGTTGGTATTGTGATGAAATCTCGCAAGTAAAGCAGAGCTGTGTGTCAGTGGTTTCTGTTCAGAGCACTGAAGCTATTAAGAATGTGTATGGTTCACTTTAACTTTGTAACCTTGACTCTCGTTTCAAATGTTTGTTTCCTTTCCATGTTGCTGCAGTAGTTACATGATAGTTTGAACTTAATTTTTGGTCCTGACATAAGTAAACTAAGTGGTGCTTGCACCAAGGTTAAGTTTATTCTTCTGCCTTTGTTATCTGAGAATTCACGGGGATTATTTGTTTTAGCAGATTTCTAAACATTGTTTCCTAGCTTCCTTTTCATGATGTGCATTGGCCCTGCTCTGTCGCGTTGTAGCATTTGTTCTTCAGGAGATGCACATGAGTTCCCTGCAGAGTGTATTAATGCTGCTCTTGCAAGTGAGAGGCCTTGCTGCTGTGCAAGATCAAAGTCATCTTATGCCCTTGATGCTTGCAGTCCCCAACAGCAAAGGGAACACAAATGCTGATGTGACATCAATTTCAGTCTTTGGTGTGATTTTTTTAATGTTCTCTTTTCTTAAGAGCACAGGTTGTTTCTGTGCATGCAGTAGGTCCAGTAAGGTGAACACAAGCTGGTTTTGGTTTGTACTGTAGTGTTGAGGAATGGCTCTTATGTCCTGTCCTCTACTTGAAGAGGAATTGTTGGAGACTGGCGTGGTAACCACTTGAGTACAGTACAGCTTGAGTTTTTTTAATTTTACACTTGAGCTGCAAGATTACTGCTGTGCAAACCTTGTCCTGACAAACTGTTGGTGTGCCTTGTCCCTAGGTTCAGCTCCTACCCCTGACTTTAGCAATTTAGCCCTGTAGTTTTTGACCAGGTGTGATATCTATCATTGCTCATAGATTGTCTCTAAGAATCATGTTATGAAACTGATAGTTGTAAGTTTGGTTAGAGCTCTTAAAGAAGCCACAGTGTCACAGCAGAAAGCAACTATTCGGGGTTGTTTGCATAGCAAATGCTCAGGAAAACCAAGTCAAAATGTTGATGCAGCCAGGATGCAGTAAAAAGAGAGGTGTGTTTGAGTATCTTTTTATTTTTACTTCCTTTTTTTTTTTTTTCCAACTTTCCTTATGAAAAGGAAACTTCACTGACTTACTACCTACCAATGGCCATAGGAGATGACAGTGCACCTAGTTTTTTTCACAGGCTTTGTGTCTGAAAGGTTTTCTGCTGAATTAGGCTAAAATAGCTTCAGAAACTTGCCATTACTTAGCTAATGGATGAGACTGAGACTTTAGCAGTAGGTCTCAAAAACACCACATGAAAATGGAAAAGGAAAATCTTGCTACAATCTTAACATCAGAACAGAGTAGGCCTTTGTGCTGCCTTACATTTGTGTCATACACAGCTTTTGATTTCTTTTGTGGTATGGGATTATTTTTATCAATTAAGGTTAAGAAAATGTAGGTCTCAATGCTGCATTTAAGTCTTAAAATATGATGTTGGCTATTAGCAGAATTGTGCATTTGAGCAATCATCATAATACATGTGCTGCAGTGTCTTCCCCTGTGATTACTGAATGGTTTCTATTTTGGGAATGTTTCATGGTTCAGCTTGGAGTGCTCTTGGGAAAGCTCAAGGAGGAAAGCTTTCAAAAAGCTAGTTTTATTCTGATGGTAATTCTACAGAGAGGCAGTTCAAAAGACCAGGTGCCTTACATTTGTACAAGCTCATCTCTGAAACTTTTCTGTTTTTTCGTATCATGGAATCAATGCAAGTCTCATTTCTGAAACTTCCTGCTTTTTTTTTTCCCTCCTTCCTGCAGCATTATGCCATCTCTTTGATCAGAAGCTTTTTGTTTGCAGTATTTAGCAGAAAGATGTAGATGGGTTTATAATAATAATAATCTTTGCAGACTTAGCTGCATCTCATGCTGTTGCTGTGTGAATCTCCTTTTGTCAGAGGGCATCTATGCTGCAGTCACAGGAGCCTGAATTAGCCTCTCCTGAACCCTGTGCTGCTGCAGCAAGAGGATAAGTACATAAGCCATCTAGTTTTAGGCAAGCTCTGTTACTACTGGCTATGCTGCAATCTGTTTTTCACTCTTCAGTTAATCTTCAGTTTCTTACTCTAAAAAAAACCTGAGACCAGGCAAGAAAAACTGATACAGGCACCTGCAGTTAATTTTTCCTGGTCCCTGATGTTTCTTTTTGTTTGTTTGGGTTGGGATTTTTTTACAGAACACCAAACCAACAGCTCAACAGCACATACATGTATTCAAACACAGGTCTCAGATTCTTTTGTATTGAATCTGATGGAGTAGGGAGTATCACAGTACCTTGTGTGGTTTGATGAAAATACAGTACCGTTGTTGAAACATATTGCTTTTGGAGTTGGAGTTACTCCTTGACCCCTTGAAAATAAAGGAAAGCAATTCTCTAAGTACTTAAAGCAAATGAAAACTTGCTATACAACCTCAGAATTTTCACAGGATCTCCAGTTTGAGATGGACTCATGTTTTATACAATGTACATGAAAACAGCAGTCTATTCCCTTCCCAGTTTGTCAGACAGGGCACTTGCAGTTCTGTATGTGGAGCTTCCCCAGCTGCATTTGGAAGGAAGTACCCAGTCATTTGTAAACCAAATTAGAGGTATTTGCATATAGATTCTGAAAATCTTTTAGTGCTTCTGCTTCTTTCTTAAGGAACATTTATTTCAATTAATGTCATTTTCGTGAACAAAACCCAACCAACCCAACAGCCAAACAAACCCAAAATCCAACAACAAAAAATTATAAGTTACTGGCCTCTTATGAGATGAAAACTAACTTAAGTGTTTTAAGAAAATGCCTTAAGAAAACAGTTATTTCCAGGAAAAATCATTGTTTAGATGTAAAAAAAATATTGGTGCTTAATATGTTTAGTCTGGCTTTTCAGATTTTATAAACATCTTTCTATTTCTCTTTTGAAGCAGTTTTTGAATCCTGTCTGCATGTTTGGCTGTCACTGTTGCTAAGAAGTTGCAGAGTTCTCTGATAGCCACAAGATGAATATCTGTACATATCTCATGCTCTGAGCACTTCTATCAGGACAAAGCTCACTCAGGTGTATCTCTGGGCACCCCTAAAGGACATTCTTTGCTTATTATAGGTTAAATGTTGATTCACAGGTCTGCAAACATAATTGGCTTCAAAAGGCTTGGATTTTATTACAAGTTTTCTTGCAACTCTGGTGTGAAAGTTAGATGTGATGCACTGAAGAATTGGAGATGGGAAGAATAAAGTATTTAGTTTTGTGAATTGTTGAGCATTTCCAGTTCATGAAGAGGCAAATTGGATCTGTGCTCTACCATGGAAGAAGAAGATTTACAGTTTTCCTGGATTTTGGACTCCTCATGAAAGTGTGCTAAACATGTGGGTATCTTTCTCTTCCAGCTGCGCCGCATGCAGGAGATGATTGCACAGATGCAAGCCCAAATGAGGATGAAGCCTGGTGATGACTAAGATGCTTAACATCTGGATACATCAGGTATTGCTTTCTGGCTTGTTTACTCCTCTTACACAAGATTTTCACAATGATTATTGTTAATTTTGTGCTTTGGACTTGCTTTTATAGTATTTACAGAAGAAAAATGAGTGATCTTCTGGGTAGGCTAAAAAAAAGATGTATACAAATGTTACCTTTCCAGCTGTTTTTAAGATCTGTAAATGCTTATCTTCAGTGCCTTATTTGTGGGTCATCTGGCTTTGTTTCTGTTAGCACAAGCTGCTCAGAAATTAATTTGATTATATATAAACAAAAGTTAGGGTGCTTTGGGGTGTGTAGGCTGCTGAATTTATAACAGTTTTCTCAAAGAGCCAAACAAAGTTTTACAAACTGGTTGTGTGTACTGAATACAGACTCCCTTGATGATGTGAGTGATTTATCAGGTAGGGAGAGAGTGAGGGAAGAAAAAGTTTCTTATAGCAAATGTTCATTCTTTCTGCAGAATGCAGCCCTCCTGATGGAGTTATTCTTGTAAGAGCAAAAAAATAGAAGGATATGAGTGGCCTTGTTGCTTAATACTTCAGTTTAATACTCTAGATGTGATTGCTGGTCTTGTGGAATGTAAAGCTTGAATAAAATGGATTATATTATCCCTTATGACCTTGTGGCAGCTGCCAACATTCCAAGCCTAAAATAAGGAGATTTTTTGTTGCCTTTATTTGAACCTTCAGTCTTCCTGTTTACATAAAAAAAGAAGGAAAAAAGTTTAAGAAATAAACTTATTCGCTGGATTCTGATTTAAGCAGAAGTTGATGGTTTTACTGGTGTGTGCACTGATCTCTGAGTGAGGTAAAGGGGAAAGAAGTAATTCAAACTCGGTTTTCTCACTGCCACAGTTTCAGCTGTTACAGAGAGAGGAGTCTTCACATTATGTCTTCTGACTTCCATACTAAGATTTGTTTTCCCAGAGTTGGGAACACTGAGGATGATTTTATGGCTGACCATGTAGTGTATGCAGTAGCAGTGTCTGGCACACAACTCTCACCTCCCTGGGCAGGAGCTGGTCACTCTGCAGCCTGTTCAATACTGTTAAATATTTCAGTCTGAACTGAAGGTTCCAGGTTTTCATGGTGATTTCGTTATCATATGGCCAAACTAACCACATGTGAAAATGGCTGTTTGATGCAGGAAAGCTTATATAGTATAAATGATCATTACAGGTTTTTGCAAAGAAGCTCAAGTCTTTGTGTGGCTTACAGATCACATTTAGTCACTTGGCCTTAAACTGATATTCAGTAAGAAAAAACCCACCATAAATCTAATAACCTCATCCATAGTTGTTGTTTGCAGTGCAGAGTATGGCAAATGCTACAAATATATTCAGAGCTCTTTCTTCAGCACCTGGAAACTGACTTTGCTGTGAAATTGGGATCTGAGGGCTGAGGCGTTGCAGTATTCCAGCAATGGTTAGCCAGGAATGGCCCCAGGTTGCCTGTGTTTCACAGCTCCTGGCAATGCTGGATATGGTGTTTATAAAAATGAACTGGAGCATGGTTTGTCCCAGGCTGAATTTGCAGCCATGGCTACGTAAAGTAAACAGAGTTCTGAGCATGTTCATGTGCAACCAAGGGAAATGTTATTCTGGGGATACCTCACATTGCTGATCTGCAGCGCATCTTGGACCACTAAATGTGTTAAGCAGGAGAGCTTTGCAGATTTAACTGAGTGTTTCCATGGTCTTGTTATGATTTAGCTGGAACTAAATCTGGAGGGAGTTAATTGTTCTGAAATAGTGAGTGTGGACAAATCCGAGAAGGATTTGGATGAGATCTTCGTATGTGGAGGTCCTGCTGTACCTTTGGAATTTGCTAAGCTACATCTCTGCAGCTGCTGTGGAAATCATGTTGTTTGACAGATTGCTTTCAGGAAAGGCTTTTGAACCTCTTCTTTGTTACCCTTGAGATACTGATAGACTTCCAGTATGATTTGTTGGCCAGTGTGCAGAGTCAGAACCTTGGCTGTGCCCTTCCAAGCCAGGTGTTGCTGTATGATCCTGGCAGCACGTTGAAGTGAATCCTCACCCAGAATTTAGCCTAAGGAAAGTTTCATGTTAACTGACTTCGCAGTTTAGGAGGAGTGATGAGTTCAGCCTCCAGCATTCCCATCAGATTTGTTGTATTTTATTGAACTCACTATTTCTGGAGAAACCAGGAAACTTGTAATTAACACAGTGGTTAACAGAACCAAACTGCCCACAAATTTAAACATCCTTGATACCAATCTTTTGGTTCTATCACAGCTTATCTTGAACATCTCTTGGGTTCTAGTTTTACAAGAACTTTAAAGGATCATCTCTGCTACTGAAAGCACAGTCTCTCCTCCAGTTGCTCTTTTGCACCCTCAATGATCTTTGGGCTGAGAAAAATATGTGACTTTATAGACAGTTTGTGTAAAAAATAACATTTTCACTCTTTTTATTTTGCATGCATACATATTTATTGATTTTTCTTTAAAAGTATCTTAAAATATTTTCCCTTTCATAAAGCACAAATATAAAGATGTTTTCAGGTATTTTGGGAAAAGAGAAGTGTGTTGTGAACACCTTCATAGTTAAGAGCTGGAGAATAAACCATAGGGTAATGAAATATGCTAATACCCAAATATGTGACATACCCATTTCTGGTTTCAGGTGTATTTTGGAGTGGGGAGGAAATTGCTGTATGCTTTGGGGTTTTCTAGGAGTTAGGCAATGCATGATGAGTGCTAAACTCAAATCCTTGCCCAGAAGACTGAAGAGTCTGTGTTATCATGAAGTGCTACCCAGATGGGATGACTGGAAGGTCTGGTTTGCCTGATCCTTTTTGAACAGAGGCATCTTTAAAGATTTTAGGG